AACTGCTACTTCAGGACTTCATATTACCAGCAGTAATTGGGAGCAGGTTTTATTTCCCTTTTAATTTGTCTAACGGTTTTTATTTAAGAAGCATATTAATATTTTGCCCATGAGTAGTCTTTTTCATCCCACTCTTTTTGTCCCAAATTGTATACAATTTATATAAGTCTCTCGAGAACAATCCATTTTAGCAATGATGGGGTTAGGAGAGCCTTAGAACCCAGAATATGCCTCTGATGAATGAGGGCAAAAATTTAAATTCCCCCAGTACTTTCAGGCTTCTAGCTCTGAGGCCTAAAATAGTATGTAACAGACTGCAGACTGTGAGTACTCGTCTGAAATGCCACCACTGTATGACATAGTAGAAAGAGAACTAGACCTAAAGTCAGTGCTGAGGTTGGTTACCTCAGACCTGTTACTTCTTATAATATCCATATAACACTTAGACCCACTTTTCCCTTCATAAAATGGGAATCCAGATACCCATCTCATTCTAATATTTCCAATAAACTTTTCTGATGACATTCATATTCAAGGAACATTGAGCGAGTTTTAGATGTAGTTTTTTCAAAGGGAAAAAACAAACAAACAAAACAGGTCAAATATCCCTGTAAGGAAACTAAATAAAATTCAAGTGATTCATGACTGGCAATAGGAGAATCTCCAGGCAGCAATAGGTTACTGGCCTAATATAAAAGTTTCAAACTATTTTCTCTTGGTATTAACCTTCCCTTTAGGGAGATAGGCCCTACATTGTGACCTCAGGGAAAATCTGCTCACAATTTTTTATAGCAGACAACCCGATGTTTTCAAAATTTCCCCTGGTGTATCTGAGACCAGTCTGGAAAATCTGAGGCTTTATGCACTTTGTGGAGGATTATAAACATGAAGACAAGGAAAATGTCACAAAACTAGACAATATCTGATTGGATATAGCTTGCTGATCTTCAAGCTCACATTGCTATTCCATCCTGGGTTTCTGTCATGCTTTTGTGTGGTGAGTACTTTCTTAACATGGTTCCAGAATCCATTCCTAAGTATCAACCTTTTTATAGATCCCAAACCAGAATCCTGAATATGTTGCCTGAGAACCTAGATCCAGCCATATCTAAAAGCACCAAATTTTCAATTGTGGGAGCTTAAAATTTCTTTGTTTTGAATAAGCATGTTAAAAATTATGTCTGACTCTTTTATAGCCAAGTTAGTTTGAGCACATATTTCAGCTTTGTATCTTCTGCAGAATCTGGCATAAGTGTCTATTATTAGTTAAATAAGTGTCTCAATTATTAATTGTACCACTATTCAACAATTAAAATACATATTCTATGATATAAAATTTATAGCAGAAATAAGTACATTCATCGAAAAACATTCCTAAAATAAGGACCATAAGTAGGATTTAAAAGGTTTTGTCATTTATTTATTAGACATAAATTCATTACAAATCTGACTCACAGATATTTTAAAATATTTTAAATCACAAACAAATCATAATCATATAAAATATTAAGTGTTAAATTATATTTTACATTTATAGAATATCCAATGTAATAATTAGAACTGGATGACTGGTTATGTTCATGTAATAAAATAGTGTAGATAAAATATGACAAATATGTTAAGAAATATTTATAACTTGTAAACCAATTTTTTTGGTTTCATAATAAGTAGAGAAAAATGGTGCATTTAATTTTTAATGAGAATCTTTTGGTAAACTGACATAAATGTAAAATTGTGTATCTTGACTTTATAGGCTAGAGGTAACCTTATAAAAATTATGACTAGATTTATTAATTTTATACTTTTTTCTGCACCTGTGATGCAGATGAGTTGTTCAAATCTGTTTGTCTCATATATATGTGTGTGTATGTATGTGTGTGTGTATATGTGTATATATATATATATTTAAATTTCTGTTTTCTTGAAATACAGTGGTGGGAAAAAGTAAATTTACAGTTGCTCATATGGAAAAAACCATGGATTATGATTACAATAGCTTTATTAACTCAAAAGAATGTCACAACACAACTGTAAACCTACTTTTGCCCACCCCTGTATATCAGTCAGAGCAATTCTTTCCATTGATTCACTTGGTTTCTTTTCTTCCAGTTTTTCAAAATTACAGTTTAGCATCACTGCAGTTTTAAATGATTCCATTCATTAAATGCCACCTTAAGTGAGGCTTTCCAATTGCCCTTATTTTCCAGATACCAGTGAGGTACAAGTATGATTTATTCCCAGATGATCAGAGAACACTGGAAATACTACCAAATGATAAATATTGATACTGCACTTTAATTTTATAAGAGGTTAGTTAAGAGGGTGCTGTACCCATGAAGCATTTAGCTCTTTAAGCCACTTCACATCTGAAAGCCTCATTAATGAATCCTGGATTAAGGAAAGAAACTTTAACCCTCAAAGCTAAAGATGATGGCCATATGCATCATACAAATGAGATGCAAATCAACAAGATTACACTTAAAACCAGAAGACAAAATCCATTATGAGAAAATCTTATGCACAATATAAAAATATTCATCATAATCACAAAAGTGTTTAGTTTTTATTTTTTACCTTATATTACTAAAACATTAACTATGATTTACTGGAGGAGCTTGGTAAAACTGTGAAAATTAGAACATACTCAGGTGAGAGTAATTTCCAATGTTTCAAACATAAAAAAATAATTTTCTATACATAATGAAAATGAATATAAGATGTGTAGATAGGATTTCAAAAAGATGTAATTTTCTTCCATGCTACTATCCATGATGTAAGCTGGAGCAAGTTATCATAATTTACCACAAGTGTGCTGAAATTTCTTTAAACCAGACTTAAACCAATTTTCATTTAAAAGCTATTACATTTCCTGTACCTTTGATTCATATACCAAACACACTGTGCTAAGCCCAAGTGTATCCTCATGGTATATAACACATGATAAGGCACATAAAAAAGCAAATAGATATATGTTGACTTATCAATTTTGTTCTACAACTTGATCATTTAGACTTTTGAAATAGCTGTATTGCTCTCTTGATTCCTAGTGTATTAAAGTGCAATGGATTCTAAATTATTACATTTGTTATTTTAAAAAAAGATAAATTTCAGCCACAAGGGGCACAGATACTACACTGTGAAAGGCACTTTTTGTTTGTTTTGTTTTTAGAAAACAAAATATGTTCTACCTCTTTCTAAGTCTTTAAAACATCCTGGAGAATAATATTAGTTGAAATCTTGAATTTCCCTTCCTTAAATTTAAAGAAAACTGAGTGGTAACAAAACTGTATGAAATAGATTTGTTTGTTCAGCAAATAGATCACCAAAATAAACCAAAAAACAAACAACAACATCAAAAAAGCATACTTATGTTTTTAGGCATTGATTGTACAAGGTGATTTATTGAGAAGTGGAAAAAAGAAAAATGGGGAAAAGGTTCAGCATGATGGATTCTATCATTAATTAAAATTTGGTCCTAAAAAAACATAAACACACAGCTGCATTATGTAAATTATTCTAAGGAGGATAGGGAGCCTGGGGGATTCAATAGAACTAACATGAGCACTAAGAATACGTTTTCATATAGAGAGAAATCTTTGATGTCAACATTTGCACTAAATCTATGCACACTTATTTAAAAATCAATGCCCCTATTTTTTAACGCAAGTTATTCTCACACAGACTGAATTAACCTGCACAATGGGCTCATACCAAAAACAAAACAAAACAAAATACTACAATCAGAGCACTGATCTCTAGAGTTAACTACAAATGACTCACATTTCTTTCTAATTATATATAAAGTCCACCCAATGTATCCGCAGTGCCTATGAAAACTAAAAAGCATAGTGACCAGGGATGGCAGTGTTGGAGTAAAGGTCATGAGACTGAGCCTCAAATCATAGAATGTTAGTGATTACCTTGTTCAAATTCTGTACACTCTGTAGCTGGGAAAACAATTCTCACACTAAGGAAGCAGCAGATGTGTTGCTCTGAGGTCACGCGAATGTGACCACGGTGTTTAACTTGCTCACATTTTATTTCCACCTCATAGCGCAGTGCCTGATATATGGTAGGTGTTCTACAAATGTTTTGAGTGGGTTGATGAATGAAAAAAATGAATGAAAGAATGAGACAATGGCAGAACTAGGGTAGACTATATTTTCAGGAATAAAATTTGTCAGCATTCGGGTAATTGGGATGATAACTTGTTTTGTTACCAGAAGGCCCTTGAAAATGTTCTTGTTGGAGGCCATAGTCATTAGAAAGACAATACCAGGTGTCTGTAGAGCTGATAGATCATGGGGCATTTTGAAGTAATTTTCATTTTCTTTAATCTTTTAATTGATCTGTGGCATTGCTTATCAGTAGAGTTACAGTTGTTTGAAGAGACTTTGTCAGCTCTGCCTTGTGACACTCAACTTACTGAACTGCACTGCACGTAATACTATTCACATCTGCATTATGTCTTCAGGCCATGATAAGGGGCAGGCACGTGTTTCCACCCCACCCCCTGTAACTTGAGCACTCAATAACAGTTACTGAGAGCAATAATAGTGTTCATTCTAAAGGCAGTTTTCAGAAATGAAGAGGAGCAGGAGAGGGATATAAGCAAGAGCACGAAAGCTGCGAACATTTAAACTGCTTGATGAAAAGAGAAAATCTGTTAGACTTGTTATAATTGGAGCAGCATATGTAGGCCTCAAAGGAACATACAGACAATTGGAAAATACACTTTTAAGTACAGGGTCAGGAGAAGAAGTCAACAGCAGGTGTTGGTGTGGAAGCAAGTCAAATTTAGGTGAAAGAAGAGCAGGCATGTTTCATTATGGAATCTTGGAAGTCATTCCCTGCGGATTAAAGTGGGTAATTGTGGGTGGCTTTTAAAGTGGCAGGAGACAGTCTGGGAAATAGCTTCTGTATTCCACACAGTCAGGTTCAAGTGCAAAGGAGGTCTTTGTAAACAGAGTCCATGGCAGTCCTTTGACATAGAAGAGGGGTCACTCAGACTGTTTAGGGACCCAGGTAAACTTCCAGCCTCCTTTCTCATCTCGGCGGACAAAGGCTTGTCCCTGGTGGAAGGAATGAGTTTTCACATTACAGTGAGGGCTCAGGGATGTGGAAAAGGCCATTTCTGTTTTATTGGGTGACACGTCAGAAGTATAGTGAGGAAGAGTTTGCAGCCCACTTGGAGGATTTGAAAGTTGAGAAAGGAAGTGAAAATCTTTCCCGTGGCTGGCAGTGCTGCGGGAAGGGGTTGTTCTCTCACCTCCATAGTCAACTGGCATATCCTCCGTGGGGGCATTCCCGTAATCAACTGCATTCTCTAAAAACCGGGGAAATGCGCTGGTGATTCTTCTGGGATGAGGGGAGAGGGCACTGTAGTTAGCCGATAAGGTGTCATCAATAGTGTTGAGGTCTTTTAACCCAAGTGTTTGAAGGACCCAGGGATCCACAGGGGGCGCAGGTTGTTCTTCACAGTTAGCAAACTCACTAGAGATGTTTCTCTTGGCATTTTTGCAATGGGGGATCTCGAGAGGAAAATATCTTTGCTCTCTGGGTTTTCTCTTCCCCTTTCTAAATTTTCCACATGCCCTGGAGAAATCATCTGATGAAAGCAATTTCTGGGGAAGTAACATTTGAAAATATACAGAGTCAGGTCATCAAGCAAGATCATTTTCTTCACTGTTGTCTATTTACATGTACTCAGACAGTAACTAGTCACCTTAAGTCCTTAGAAAACTTGATTAAACTTCTATTTTTACACACACACACACACACACACACACACATACACACACACCTGGTTGGATTAGTTTCTGTTTCTAAATTTAAATCTATGATGAGAATTTACTACCTAGAAATCCAATTTATATTTTTTACTAGTCATTTAAAAATTCAAAGGAATAAATGATGTCTTTAAAATTGTAATCGAGGGAAATAATTACTCTTATTATAATGAAAATAATAGCAACTATAATGTTTTGGACAGTGGTTACATGCCATGATCTTGTTTTATTTAAGTACTATTAAAACCTCCTTTAATGGAGAAACTGATAGACACAGACAACAATGTGATAAAAGCAGGGGGAGGGTGGGAGCTGAGTAGGGGAGGTCAAACGGGGGGAACTATCTGAAATAGTGTCAACAATACAAAAAAACAAAAGAAACTGAGGTACAGGCATACTAGTGACTTCCTAAAAATATTCAGCCTAGATTCACATCCAATCCATCTGAATCTAGATAGAACCAGGGGAGGAGTTTGGGGGTTTGGTCAAAAAAGTGAGAGAATAAATAACACATGGACACAGGAAAAAAGTAATAAAACCTAATTTTCCTTGGTTTTAAGGTAGTAAGATATTCTGATACTGTACTAGAATATCACAATCAAATAATTGTAAAATAATACATAATTTTAAATGATTTTTTCTAAAGGAGAATTAAAATTAGCTGCAATTACTGTCCAAAAAGACAAAGAAAGAGAGAAAAGAAACGCTATGTAACACTGCTTCCTCTTATTTCACTAACTTTCATAGCACTCTCATGAGATATGTATTATATTATCCTTAATCTTGCAAAATTGAGAATAACAGAGAAAAAAACTGCCTAGTTAATATCACTTGAAAATTTAATAATCATTCTTTTCCTAGAGTTAAGGGCCCATGTTAATAATGATATGTGCTCCCTTTTTAAACAAAGCTAACTGAATTGTAAAGGAATCAAAAATAGTGTGCCCTTCCTCTCTGAACTGTTATGTCCAGTAAGAGTAGGAGAAAGCATCATCAATTTAGTTTAAATAATATCAAATAATGTGGCTTTTCTAGAAGTAAGGTAAAGATTGATAGAAGCAATAATAATAACAGAATGGCAAAAAGCAAACCCAAAATTACAAAACCCAAAGGAATTAAGAAGAACAAAACAGGGCTATGGGCAAGCTATTTACCTCTGAGTTAGAATAATTCATTTAAAAAGTTTTAGGGGGAAAAAGTGCACTAATTAGCAATATCTAATTGCCAGGCAAGAGATCTGGGCTCCAGTCATAGTCATAACATTTCAGATCTTAAAAGATCTTTTAGCCCATTCATTTACAGATGAAGGTAACTGAGGCCCAAGTGAGGGTGTCTCATCAGAAGTCAAACATATACTTAAAAGAACCGAGTCTCTCAGATGTGATTCCCTCTCCAATGTTCCAACCATCTAACTTTGTCTTTTGGTTATAACTTCTATTGTCTCAGCAAGTCCCTTGACTGACTTTTGATTCTTAGGTATCTTCTTTTGTAATATATGCCTGAAATCTGCAATCTAGTTGGCTCCAAGAAATAATGCATACAATTTTTCCAAAACCTGGTCAGGTGGTTCAGTTGGTCAGAGTGTCATCCCATACACCAGAAGGTTGGGGGTTCAATTCCCAGTTGGGGCATGTACAAAAGGCAGCCAATCCATGTTTCTCCCTCACATCAATGTCTCTCTCTCTCTGTGTGTCTGCCTCTCTCTCTCCCCCTCCTTCTTTCTTTAAAGTCAATAAATGTATCCTCATGTGAGGATTAAAAATGTTTTTCTGAAAGTGCTATATTTTATTTAGAAAAATTCATCCATCCATAAATACATTTGAAGGCATGTTGTTTAGCATACTTCCTACGTTGATGAAGGAGTTTTACCCAAATGGTCTCCTTTCTCAAATTGCCAACCACTCTGTCTTTACAAAGGGGAGAGTTACATACCTTGGCTTTTTCCTCAAGACATTTCACCAAAGCAGAATTCAGGTATTGTCTGAGGTGATTATTCTCTTCATGTAACCTAGCAAGTTCTTCTTCCTTCTGCACCAGAGTATCTTGTAGCTGCAAAAAGTGGACAATAGTGAGGGCTGCTCCACTATATTGACTTTGTAACTTTATAGTAATGCCACTGATCCATAACCCGCCCAAACCTGATTATTATTTTGTTTGTTTTAGGAACTCTACCTCGGGGAGCCCTTGTCCTTAGAGGCCTGAATTCAATCTACACCCACCTACCACCTGATTGTTCAGTTTCGTGCACTGAATTTTTTGTTCATTCCAAAGTGTTTGAAGATATTATATAACTTTTAAATTGTAACCACAAAGGAAGGTATGTAGGAAAATGAGCTGCAAAACTGTTTAAATATAGAAAAAAGTGTTTAGAAAAATTTTGTTCCTTGCACCTTAAAAGAAGAAAGAAGAAAGAAAGGTGAGTTGGTTTAGCTCAGCCTCAAATTGATCTGTGTGTCCACTTAATTAAATTACTCTCTCAGGAACAGCAACAAACAAAATATGGAATATGAAGCAATCTTTGTAAAACTCATAATCATTATTCTCCAAGTGATGAGCTATGTGGATGACTTAAAAATATTATCACTCATTATATCATTTGACCTTTCCAACAGTTCTCACAGTTCTCAGAGGAAGGCAGCAACAAGTATCCCAATTTCGTAGATAAGGAAAAAAGGATTCAAGGAGTCATACAACTAATAAAAGAGGTGGAGCCGGGGCCTGACTTCTTTTCACAGTGGTTGTTTTGGGTGTGTGTGTTTGGGGGAGGGAATTGTTTGGGTTTTGTTTGATATTATCACCTAACTTTTATCACTCTATAGGCATACATCCCCCTTGGCCCTAAACTGAAAGTCAGCATATGAATCTATTGTACAAGGGAAAAGAAGCGTGCGACAGTAAGGGCCAAAATTAAGAATGGCCTGCATGGAGCACGGCCAGTCCCAGTGTTCTGATCACATATACATACCTGCTTGTTTCTGTAGAGCTGAGAGGAGAGCTGAGCCTCTTCCCACGAGCAAGAGGTAGGAAAAGGGAAATTCGAGTCACTAGATGATTCTATGTGGAAACACCAAATGGGTAACTGAGAAAACACACTTGCAATTTTTGTGTGATAAAGAATTCACCAAAAAATTTCAGAAACAGCAAAAGTTTCAATTACCCTTCCAAAAATAGCTATTGCCTCCACATAGGAAAATAAAATATTTAAAACTTTATGAAGGGGGCAGCACGCCATAAAAGGCAAATATTTATGGACTATATGCCGAAGTGGCTACTCAGTTCAATTTTTAACAGCTATCAAGTTCCTCCCTAATATTCCTCCCTAATATTTGCATTCCTGCTGGCTAAATTTATAACTGTCCCATCTATATTATTAATTCATTCAAATATTTATTGATCCCCCTCCCCCACTGTGCATAACAATGTAATTTTACTATGTTTTTGAATTTTTACCTTATTTTCTAAGTCTTAGTGCTTGAAAATGTAGTATTTGGTTCTAGAATCAAACTCTATTTTTGATGCTATCATTTTCTGCAAATGAGAATCTCTGCCTTTATGCCTGTCAGTTAAATCTGGTGGGGAATATTTATTCAGAATTGTGTGTGGCAGCAATTTCTATTTTAAAATAATTTGGACCTTGCTTTTCTGAAGACATTGGTGAAATCTCAAAACTGTAACTCAAACTCATGTATTTCAAATGTCATTCTCTGTATGTTTTTTAATAATTTTTCTAAAAGTGTTTATTAGAAAAAAAATTTGCCAACAAGCTATACCTACCAAGAAAAAAAAAAAGAAATTATGTGTAGGCATGCTGAATTGTTTTCCTTATACCCACTTTCCCTCAACTAGTTCAGTTGTGACTCTTGCCTTCCTCTACTTAAACTGAAATACTACTGAAATATTTTTAATTCAAGTAGAACAATGAATAGGAGACAAGAATAAAATTTTACACACTGATTTCATATTCTTGGGCATTCTGTTTCTTTATTGCTTGTGGTAGGAAGCTAAAGCTGAAAAATTTTCTTCCTGATATATGTATTTTTCAATAGCTTAGGGCTTGTGTGTTTTTTCTCAAATTCAAAAAAAAATATGTGGCAGAATCAACAGTGCAGATACTTAATTCTGAAGTGCCTAAGAGTTCCCTTATAAACTTGAATGTTAATATAGAAATTTCTTTAATATTTATAAATACTGTTTATTAAGCCCCCGGCCAAAATTAATATGTAATTTTCTATCAATGTTATACTTCCCTCAAAAAATTGAAGTCCTCTTTGGGCAAAAAATAATTATCTCTTCTACTTACAAGACACTGTTCATAGAATTTCCTCTATGAAATAGACTATTAAGTTAATATTTCTTGTTTCTCTCTCATATCCAGGGAAACTTTCCTGAACTCCAGAAAAAAATGCTCCAGCTGGTATCTTGACTCTGAAAGCATCCCACCACTATTGCTTATAAAACTTTGACCCAGACCCAAACTCCCTCAGTGAGTTAGAAATCTCAGAGAACTTAAAAGTATAGGGAGAAATATAAATTGTCCAGCAGGCAAGGGAAGGAATCCTATTTTCACTATTTGGCAAGTATAAAAATAATAGGTATTTGTCTTGTAAGATGCAGGAGTATTTGGGCTTTCTTAAACTTTCTATATCATTCCTTCTTCTACAGACTCCCAGCCCATGATGCTTTGCAGCTGTGGGTGCTGGAAAAGGGCTTCAGAGCTACCAGGAAAGCAGAAGAGCAGAACTTACCCTGTGCCTGTTGTGCTTGTTGGGGCTCTCTGTTGTCCAGGAGACCAGCAGCCCAGAAAGAGACCCAAGTATCCGTGGAAACATCAACACTAGATTCTGACGTTGTAGTGGAATACGGGCAATTATAGCTCTGGCCTCCTACAAAGTACTGGTCTTGGCAAGGCAGAACGGTGTTCTGTGAAAATTAGTACAAGGGGTAGGGGATTCCCAGGAGATGGGGTGATGGGGATTTGGAGAGAGGAATGGGTGGGAGAAAGATGCCAAAATTACATGAAGTGCATCAAAAACAGTAAAGGTGCTAAGTATAGATCCCAGGTTAATTTTGAATGGTCAAAATATCAGTACTAGAGGGGGGTCAGCTCTTTGATTTATCCAATACTTCCCTAAGGCCTCCTCAGCAAAGAATAGGCTGGTAGTGGACGGACCAAATTTGTACATACCCAGGAATATTCTCTGTTGACATGTCTAAGTCATCTAACAGGCTACCCAGGATTTAAGTAAAAGGCATTCTACTTAATGATTCAGAGACCTAAGAACTATTTGACTCTTTCTAGCAAATATCTGAATAATATTTTCAATAACTTTGAAGAACGAAAAATACTAAAACTGAAATAAACAGAACAATAAAATATTACCTAACCTCCTTATTTTAGTTTCTTACACTCTGAATTATAAATGTGCCCTGTTTGTCTCTTTTTCTTTCTTCTGCTTCAAATGCTGCTGGCTCCTGTGGTGATCAGGATGGTTTGTGATAAATATATAGATATAGTCCAGAGATAACTAAATAAATATTGCTCCTGACTCCTAACTAAGCACAAGAGCATAAAGTCACTCAAGTAAACATAGAATCAAAGCTGAAAAAAATTAGTCAGCAGGGACAGCAAACTCTAGGTCTCTCCATCACTAGGTCTCAATGCCCTTCCAAAGTTATCTTGCCACTCCTAACTTCCTGGTGTGTATTCTCCACTGTGTTCTGAGCCAGTGAACACGCTCCTGCCCCCAACTCTCCAAACACAGTCTTTCCAAATGTCCAGGCAGAAGCAGGTATGCAGCAGCCTTCCTGGGTTAATTTGTACAAAAACTCATTTCTAATTATTTGTCAATGTTTAATCAGGTAAAAGCCATTTCAGTAGAACCCATCTTTGGACATATTATTTTTGACCACTATATGTCTTTGGTTGACTTGAGGACTTTCTTGGGCTTAACATAAACAGAGAGAAAACAAATAAGAAAGAAAGAAGAAGTTGAGTAAGAAAAAGAAAAGAAGAAAATCACACTTTGTTAATGTTCCCAGTAAATTAAGTTTTGAAAAAATCCAGCTTAGGCAGTGAAGAGCAAAGAAATTCAGCCAAAAGTTTACCAAATGCAATTTTCTTTCATTCTAAAAGCATGTTTGTAGCCTCTTTCCCTGAGGTTATTACTGGAATTAGAGTTGAGCTATTATGCAATTGACACCTGAGAAGAAAATAAACTCCCAATAGCCCTAGACTAGGTCAGGTCCAAGTGTTTGTAAATATGTTCATAATCTAGAGAAAGAGGCGAAATGAGAAGTGAGTGCAGGTGTACAGGGAGAAAAATTTGGGAGAAAGTACGGAGTAGAAATAACAGAGAGAAAGAGAGTAGAAATAGAAAGAGAGAGAGAGAGAGAGAGAGAGAGAGAGAGAGATCAGGAGAATATAGAGAAGAATAAAAGAGAAATGGTTAGCAGAGTCTTAATTGACAGGTAGCAGAGAAATCTTGCTTCCAAGGTGGACATTCTAAATGCAAAGCTTACTGGCTCTCAGCACCCCCAGATTTCTCCAGTGAACTAGCTAACACCAGTTCCTCACTTACCATCTTGCAGTGGAAGAAGGCGCTGCAGAAACTGAACCCACTCTTAATTTTTCGGTAAAGCTGGTGGGAGTTTTAAATGAGACTGAGGGGAGGAGCTAGGAGAGGCGAGTTCTAATCTTCAGTAGCTGCGGGTGATGCCGGGGCTCCCGGCGAGCACCGTTCTCTGATTTGATGTGAGGCTGTCAAACTGGTGACGTGAGTCGGAAAGCTTCCAGCCAAAGCCAAAATCACTAGCGCTCACGGTGATCGCAGTGCCTGGACCTGAAACCTGCGGGTCGGCAGTGCAGCTGTGCTTCAAAACCCGCGCCTGTGCCGGCTCGCTGCCCGCCAGCGGGGCGTCAGGGGTGGCGGTGGCCGCGCCTCCCGGGCCCCACGGGGCGAACGCTGGCTCCACGCAGTGCCCGGGGGCGGGGGGGGGGGGTGGGGGCAGGCGGGCCAGTCCGCAGGTGCCCTGGCGCAGGGTCAGCCCAAACCCACACCTCAGGGATCCGGGAAGCACTTGGAGAAGCCATGCAACAGGCCCCAGAGTTAATACTGCTCCTGTGTATTTTCCCGGCCAGTGATAAATATCAAGGTGATCTCTATGCTAGGCTGTAAGAGAACAGAGGTTTCTGCCTGTTTTGTTCATGCTGTCTCCACAGTGCCTGGAACAATCTTTAGCGTGTAATGGGGTGCTCATTAAAGAATGGATTAAGTTACAAATTAAGAATCTAAATTGCCTATCTCTGTGGTAGTCTTATCTTTACATCACTAGTATATAAATAAATTATTACAATGAAGAAAAATTAGTGTTTATACTCCTCAATTAAAGTGTTCAAGTCCCACCATCTTCTCTTGCATTTCATTCTCATGATTCCTGTGATTTTATATCCTGAGGAATAAGAAGAGTAATATCTTTAAAACCATTCATCTACCACTAATAACCAACTTATTTCAACTGACAAGAGCCTATGGGATAGGTGCTTTTATTGTCCCTGGTTTGAAGGCTGGCAAATGATGCACTGAAGTTAAGAAGCTTGACTAGTGTTTACACAACTAAGTAGTGACAGACCCGGGATTTGAACCTCTGGCTCCATCATCCATGCTTCTAACTACTACTATCTATCTATCTCTCTCTATAGAGATAAAATGTACTCTCTTTAACTTCATTCTACTGCAGGTTATAGCCATTTATGCACTGGGCATTTTTATGCACTGAATTATGCTCCCCCAGAATTTATATTTTGACTCTCTAGCCCTCAATGTGACTATATTTGGAGAAAGGGCCTCTAAAGTGGTAATCAAGGTTAAGATATTATAACAATGGTGCTCTAAGCTAACAAGACTGGTTTCCTTATAAGAAGAGCAAGAGACACCAGGGATGACATACACAGAGAAAAGTTCATGTGAGGACACAGCCAGAAAGGCGAACATTTGCACGTCAAGGAGAGAGGCCTTACAGGAAGCTGAAAACTCAGCTGACACCTTGATCTTGGACTTCGAGTCTCCAGAACAGTGAGAAACTACATTTGTGGTATTTAAGTCCCCCAGTCTGTGGTTCTTGTTACAGAAGCCCTAGCAAACTAATGCAGACATGGTGTAGGAATTGAGAAAATGTCTGATTCTGACTTGCATCGTCTTTTCTCTTAGCCAGTTTTGACCTTTATTTATTCTGCCTTGCCTTGTACTTCCCATCCACAGCACTTAGCAGTGAATTGCACACAGCAGGTGCTCATTAAGAGCTCTGTGTACAAAATTAAGAAAGGAATTGAAGAAGAAGAGGGGGAAGGTGTCAGACTTCATAGAGTCCTTCTCTCTTATTCTAATACTGTTTATTCAAAGTATTTTAAAGTGGACAGTACCAGGTTTGGAGATGACTGGCTGGAAGACGCTATCTGGGTTACTCATCATGAGTGGTCTTCTCTCTGCTCTCACTGCACAAGGGGCAGTATGACTGAGACAATGGAGGAAAACAAATGAAAACCTATTTAGGTAATAAGAATCGATGATTTTGTTCGGGGCAAAGAAAACCCTAATGTATTAGTTTTGTGAAGAACACTGCCGGCAGATAAAGGAGCACTAAATTGTTTTTTCTTTATGAAAACTGTCATAAATGAGACTTGCAAGCTTCTGGAAGATGCTATTTTTTTATTCTAAAAGTGACTCAAGATGGGCAATTGTGAAAACATGGTATAAAAATAAAGGGCATAAATTCCCACTCCACACTCTGAGACTGAATCACTTGAAGCTATATTATCACATTCTCCAAGTCCTCAGTTAGTTCCTTTGGTAAATTAAGAAAGAAGCACCAATTTGAAAGGTTAGAAAACTGACCACCAAATGCTTGAATATTCCTAGTTCACTGCCTACATTATGAATAGTAGCTATTATTATTGTTTGGTGTAGAGGACTTTGCCTTTTGAGCATATGTGCTCCTGTGTCTTACTTGTTAAAAATAACTAAAAATGAAAGCTATATTTAAAAAAAAACAGAGTTCTTTGAGAGCTAAACAATTATTTAAGTAGTTGATGGGTTTTAAGCATAAAAATGTTCCATAAATCATTAATTAACTACTTTAGTAGAAGTGGGAGTATATATAGTACAGAGAATCCCTCAAGTTAAACAATGAAGAGTTATTGACAATTGAACATAAATCTGAAGACAAAGCTTTCCTAAAATCAAAAACCAATAGAAAAATTTCCAAATTCTTAAGGTCTGATTTAAGCACTTCTTTTTATTTCAGATCTACTGCTTAGGTATAAGTCTTACATTTTCTGGGTTTGGGTTTTTTTGTTTGTTTGTTTTGGTGATTTTTTTAAAAAAATGAGTCAAGTAAGCAATAATATTAAATCTTTTGGTTGTTTTTTATTAATATTTTTGAAAGAAAAAAGTCCAGCTTCCTTAGTAATTGTAACCCATGTACATGTTTTTCATCTATGAATAATAAGATCAGTTAAAAACTGCCTTTTGTATTGTGGCTGAAGTGATGGTGTTAAAGGAGAGGTGGCTAATAACAGCCCAATTGTTGAATTGGGGCGCTGCCTCCTGCCAGGGCAAAGATATAACAAAATAGGAAGTAATTTGACCTGCACACAAACCAAGCCTGCAGACAGAAAAGAGCAGAGTATGAGCAGAGGTGGGCCAAAGAGATAAATACTTTGGCATATGGAATGTTCTTTTATTTCACCCCTGGAGGACACTTTATTCAATTACCTCATTAGTGAATTCAGTAGCATATATAATACAAGAACAATTTTAAATTCTCTTTGCAAGCATAGCTTTTCCCCATAGGTATAACAGCTGAATCTCCAGGCAATAAAAAGATAGTATTTCTGCTTTCACGTGTAGGTAAAGAAAGCATAACCCTTAGAGAAAATTCAGTGCAGTAATAATTTACTTTGGGAGATTTAACATTTGCATATTTTACTTCAGCATAGCGGCCGAACCATGACATATTTAGTTTGTTAAGGCATAACTTTGAATTTCACCTCTCCAGAACAATGTGCACAAATCAGTCATGTTTATATGAACAGAATCTTGCCTACTCCCCACCACTTGCATGTCAGAATAGCTACTAGATAGTTTGAGAAAATGATATCAGGTTATTAGCCAGGAAAGAGAAAGGGCTTGGATAAATTAAAGAGTAATATGTTCAATTCAATCCTGACTCCAATTAGCAGTATATAGAGGATTGTATGTGGGAGGAAAGAGAATGGAGATTTATGACACCATTTTATTGGATGTTTGAGCCAGAATTTATTTTAATAGCTTTATGAAATGATGGTCTAATTTTTTAGTTATTTTTGCATTATATCAAAGAAAACCATATGTGATTGTGTTATTCACAAACTGAAGATTCTCAAGAGTAAGGGTTTATTTTTCAAATATCAACAATCTACCTCATACTGAGGGATAACTAGCAAATAAATGTAGATCTATATTTGTTACACAAAGTGAGGCAAAACCTGCTGTGCACCCTATAACATTGTTTTCTGGCTTTACTCATAATATAACACTTAAACATAGTTTGTAGGTAAGCTGAAATAAATAGTTGAAGTTTATCCTGGCCATTGACAAGCATGAGAGTTCTAATTTCTCCCAGGCCTTAGCAGGGCTCTAACTCACTGCGATGTGGTGCGCTAGTTGGGAAATTCTGCTCTGTGATAACCTATACAGCCAAATTGGAATCACGTACTCTCGATTCTGCTATAAAACACATAGAAAACAGTGAAATTAACTTTGCATCACCACAAAGGTTAGAGATGTGGAATCCCAAACAAAACAAAATAAATACAACTCTATTCCCTATTATTTTACTCCAACCACATTAGAAAATAATTAAAATAGTAAGTTATTGTGTTAACCATACATCATAGATATACCAGTTCAGTTATAATTTGAAATAAAATGAATTTCTGCTTCGGAAATCCCAGTATTTTCATAAAGTAGGCTCTAGTTCATTCATTGCTCCTGAGATTTCCCTGAAGGGGTTTTGCTAGATTGGTGGATGGATTGATGACTAGGCATTAAAGACCTGACAAGCGAATTGTCACTGACCGTGGCATCCAGTTTTATCCTGAAGATAATAGAAATAAAGACATGACTGTAGTTTCTTCAAAAAGCTTCGCCCATCATGTAAGAGCAAAACAGGACAAATGAAACCTGGTTTCTTCTAACCCTGGAATGATCAGAGAACCTGCAATAATGTGACCTCTTCCATGAAAAACAGACAAAGAAATATATTTAGATATAAGGTGTGAAGCTATGGTGAAGTAATTCCATATTTTTGTAATTTACAAAATGTTGACTGAATTCTTATTATTCCATTAATTTGTGGTAAAAATTGCCTTATTTATCATCAAAGCAATGACTGGCTTGAAATTTGTAACAATGAAATTTGGATGTTTCTAGTCAAACTCTGTTTTCCACATTTGTTTTTCATAAAATGTAAGCATAATGCTAATCTCTAACCAGTAGAAACATTTACACACTCAAAACCAATCTGATAAAAATACAGAGATTTATAACTTCTCTGATATTAATAATGCTGAAAGACATTAGAATGAATGAAGCATTAGCATTTCAATAAAGTATTGTACCATGGCGCCAATAAAGTAAAATTCCAAAACCCTCTATGAATGTAGAAAAAGAGGAAGAGTGAACATATATTTTTTTCTTTGTCCAACCAGAGGTCTTCCTGCTGTCACCTCTGGAACAGCAATACTAGCACTGTGTGACCAAATCATGGCCCATAATCTTAAACACACAAATGAATTAGTATGGCTTGGCATCAAAAGCCAAGCAAGTGAATTGGCTGAACTCTGTAAGAAATGGTTTCTTCTCCTAGAACACAATAGGTAAAAACTCAAGTAGCATATCGCAAAACTTACATCTTTTTAAAATTTTTATTAGCAAGTATTATTTGTGTATTCCTTAATATCTATCTAGATATGTATAAATGCATGTGTTTATATATTTGCACAGATGCATATGCATGAGTCAGAAGTTCTCAAAGCCCACTGCCTGAAATACTTACACTGGAAATATAAAGATGTTGGAAAACAAAGACGTATACTTCACTCCTCATTTTTCTATAAAAAAGCAACTATTAGCTAAGAAAACAGACTTTTTTGATTGGTGAAATTTCAAATAAAGGAGAAAGTTTTCCCCATGTTAATGGCAGCATACATTAAACCTCCTTTCTCTGCTTTTCCTGAAGATGGCTTTCAGAAAAGCCTCCATCCCAGCCAGAGTTGGGTGTGTGGCTATCTGTGCCACCTGTGACAGGGCAGCTGAGTCTATGTTATTCAACAATGCATATTGGGAAGCCTATTAAAACTACACATAAGACATGTTTGACAATCAAGCATTTTTTTATAAAAGGGATAAAGGTAACTATTTTCATGTATCTGTCTTTGTGTCTATTACTTATTAAGTCAGAGGAGAAAGAAGTGTTATGTATTGCTGTGTGTATATTAAAAAATCATTGTATGCTTTGTGTTAAACATAAGTAATCAGGAAATATACATATACTCATGTATATGAAATTCAGCTAAATGCAAATATATTTCTAGAACTTAAAATATCCATATTTTCTAAGTAAGCAAAATCAAAAAAATAAGTTTACATAAACAACAAAACTGAACAAAAAGGATGTATAACTTTGTTCACTATATCAGTTTAACAAATATTTGTAAAACCTTTCTAAATGTCTAATACCAAGACTTTCAATAAATTATAGTATGTTCATAGCATGAATTGTGTAGCCATCAACAATCTTTTTAGAAATACATAAAGACATAGGTAAACAACAATACGTTAACTATTTTGAAGTACATAAAAGTATATTCACATAAGTGAAAAAACAAGAGGAAATAAATTAACATATTAATGGTGCTCATGAATTCATAAGAGAAGTATTGTGATTATGATTCTATTTTTGTCCTCCTGTATGTTCCCAAAATTTTACAAAGATGATGCTTTGGTTTTATAATCAGAAAAAATATATATGAAATCGTACATATGATCAGAGTGATATATTGCATAGGATAACATCATATTTAAAATTAAAGCAATGAACAGTAGTGATAGATGTCTGTGAGTATATTGATTTTAAAAATATTCTATATGTTTCTATTTTATCCAAATATACAGGGTAAGGGATGAGGTGGGGGAAATGCTTTATTTCTTTCCTCCACACAAATTTAAATTTTTTAAATTGCACAAATCTACAAAAAGAAGGAAGAATACAACAAAATAGCCACTCTTTAAAATACTGCATTTTTCCAGAAACACCAGTTATTACAAAGGCTTAGTGGAGCTTTGACACCAAGATCATAAAATATAAGATTTATGTATTTTTTTATGTAGAAGAATAAAATTAAATAGTTTATGATTATAATATTCAA